TGTGGGCCTGTTTCCTCATGTGTAAAATGGAGATAAACAACCCCTGCCTCATAGCCTCAGGGTTGGCCTAAGGACCACATGTGCAAGGTGGAGTTGGACACAGTAGCAAACATGGACAGGGTGCGTGTTCCAAGCTGGCTCTTAACGTGGTCATCCTGGAGACTTACAGCCATCTTAGGGGGCAGATACTACTGTCATCCCATTCTAGAAGACAATGCTGCAGCATAAGCATTAAATGACCGGTCTAAGGTCACACAGGTAGAAGTGGAGGAGCTGGGATTTGAACCTGGAAGACCTTGATCCAGAGCTGGGAGCTCTGCCCTGTGCTTTTCAGCTGCCAACCCAGTGCCTGACACAGATCTGAGATCAGGTCCTGCTTTTGCTGCCTACTGCTGTGTCCCTCGCAAGCCATGTAACTTTCTCTAACCCTCCGTTTCCTCATCTGAAAAATGGAAGTGATTATAGCCCCTACAGATGGGCTTGTAAGAAGTGGGGATGAGATATGGATAGTAAACCCCTAGCACAAAGTAAGTGCTCAATAAAAGACAGCTGCTCTTATTATCTAGCGTTAGTTGTCCTTCCCTTTCCCCAGGCAGTTACTTAAGGAGACACTAAGACCACTGCCAAGCTTGGGAGGGAGCCGCAGAGGCCAGGGCTCATAGGTGTCTGTCTGTCCTCTTTGCCAGGGGACTCACTGGCACCCCCTGAGGTGGACTTTGACAGGCTTCTGGCCAGCCTGAAGGATCTTAGTGAGCTGGTGGTAGAGGGTGACACCCAGGTGACACCAGTGCCTGGCGGGGCGCGGCTTTGTACCCTGGAGCCCATCCCGCTGAAGGTCTACCGGAATGGCATCATGATGTTCGACGGGCCCTTCCAGCCCTTCTACGATCCCTCCACACAGGTAGAAGTGGTGTGGGGGGCATTGTGCTAGTGCCCCTGCTCTCCACTGTTAGTTGGGGATGATGGAGCCAGCTACCCCCAGGCCCAGCCTGCCCTCCACAGGGCACCCAGGCCAACGCACGACCTACAGAGGCCCCTTCCCAAGCCCTGGTACTCAATGTTTCCAGAGGGTGCGGCACTGGGTGACCCCAGATCCAGGGACTGGCATCCAGACCAGTGGCAGGGCAGGGTGGGTGCAAGCCCAGGCCACCCCTTCACTTTTCCTCTCCCCTTACAGCGCTGCCTCCGAGACATACTGGATGGCTTCTTTCCCTCAGAGCTCCAGCGACTGTACCCCAATGGGGTCCCCTTTAAGGTGAGCTGCTCCTCAAACCATACTTTTGGAGATTTTGCATGGAGTGGGTATACACAGCCTCATGAAGCAACTCCCATTCTGAGGGGCACCCCAGCCTTCCAGGAGGATGAGCCTGAAGCCCAGCTGGGAAGGGAGTGGAGAGGCTGAGCAGCAAGCAGCGCCCTCTGCTGGCATCATGGAGACAGCCTTGGCTGCGGGGCCACTGCCTTCTAGTCCTCCCCAGCATTCAGGATACCTTGACAAGCTGCGGTCCCTGCAGAAGTGGCCCGGCTTCCCCCAAGCCTCCTGAAGCTATCTGGGTAGGGTGGGAGGCAGGGCTGTGAGCCACAAATGCAAAGCAGAGGGAACAGATGTTGGGACTCAAGGACAAGGTAGAGCTGGCCTGTGGGTAGGTGCCACCACTGGAGCCCATGAGGCTATGTGTTCCAGAGGGTAGTAGGTTAGTGCTGCAGCGAGGGCATGTCAGGGAGGGAGCATGTTGCCACCAGAGCTCAGGAAACAGCATGAGTCATGCCTGGGGGCGTTGAAGGCATCTGTGCCACCATGGGGGCCTCGTAGCTATCCCTTGATGAGGGAAGTGGGGCGCCATGTATGATGATGGGGTTTGTGCTGCAGACTGGACAAAAGCAGGGTCTTCGTCCTCTCCTGAGCCCCTCACACTCTGTTTTCCTGGTAGGCTCCTGAGATGGGGAGTCTCTGAGGGTGTCAGTACTGCAGATTCAGCTAGTGTGGATGGGGTGCTTGTAGGAGCAGCAGGGCCCAGGGAGGTGACATTAGAATGAACTGCGGCTCTCCTGAGGCCTGGGTTTCCTCATCGTTAAAATGGGGGTTGCATTAGGCCATACCCTGGCGTGTGTTTGGGCAAATAGCGATGAAAGTGGGGCAAAGGGCTGAAGAGCTGGGCCTGCTGCTGTCTCCCTTCTTTCTTGCCAGGTGAGTGACTTGCGCAATCAGGTCTACCTGGAGGATGGGCTGGATCCCTTCCCAGGTGAGGGCCGTGTGGTGGGCCGGCAGCGGATGCGCAAGGCCTTGGACAGGGTGGAGGAGCACCCAGGTGAGTTTGGCCTCCAGGCTGAGCCAGGGCTCGGGGAACTGAAGAACAAGCTCCAGGCAGGCTCCAGCACCACTCACAGTCCCTCCTGGGCCTTGGTTCTCAATGCCCCCCTGCAGGCTCCAGGATGACTGCTGAGAAATTTCTGAACAGGCTTCCCAAGTGTGTGATCCGGCAAGGCGAGGTGATTGACATCCGGGGCCCCATTAGGGATACCTTGCAGGTGAGGCCAACCCTGACTCCCCCAGCCCTCCTAGGGGAACTTTATCACCAGTCCTGGTCCAGCTGCCAGAGCAGTGTCCTATCTGGAGACTCAAGCTAGAGGCCCCTATGAGTCCCTCAGAGCTGTTGCTCCACTGTCTCCTGAAAACTGTGAGGCTGGTGAGGGCAATGGCTGGGCCCCAGGAAGCAGCTGGGTTGGTTTTAAGAGGGCTCAAGTCAGAGTCCAGGCCAGGGGCGAGCCCAATGCCCAGGCCACCGCATCAAGGTTTATGCCAAAATATCCAACTCAGTACTGGGTACTCCCTTTGTGGTGGCCCTACAGGCCCCTCAGACTCTACCTGGCCCTCATCATTCTGTCTCCTCACTCCCTATCCTGCTTCTCCTTCTAGGTGTCCACCTGTGAAAGGCACCAAACCTGTTTCTCAGGCCTCCTCTGCCTCCCTTACCCACACATTGCTAAGTCCTGTCTGGTCTGTCCATCCCCAGAACTTCTCCCAGATGCATATCTTCTCCCCATTAGCAGCACTCACCACCCTGGTCTAGGGTCTAGAGTCTCTCTCCCAGACAGCTGCCTCCAACCGCCACTCCTGCCCCTGCTGACCATCCTCCAGGCTACCTTTCCTGTTGAAATCTTCCAGTGGTTCTTGGTATAAAGCCGGGTTCCTTATGCTGGCACTCAAGGCCCATCCTACATTGCCAGGCCCCTCCACACACCAGCTTTTTCATTTCAGTCCAATTGATCCCCAGCTTCAGCCACACACAGTGCTGGCAGTTGCCCAAATGTATCACCTCTTCTAGGAAGCTTCCCCTGACCCCAGGATCTTCGTTGATGCTGTCTGGAATATCCCTGCACCCATTCCATTTCTAAGAACTCGCACTCATCCTTCAGTCACAGCTCAGTTGTCATTTTCCAGGAAAGCCTTCCCTGACCCCAGGCTGCGATAGGCTTCCAGCCTGGTCATCATCTGTCTCCATTAGACAGAGCCTCCTTCCCTTCCATTACCTCTCCTCTGGCCTTGGTTCATACAGAACACCCCCTCCCGGTTTGCTCATTGGTCTCATCTGTCCCTGGTCAAGGATGTGTCCCTCTAAGGATTGCGGGGATGACTCAAATGGGGCCTAAGGCTCTGTTCCATCTCCGTTGATACCTTCTAGAACTGCTGCCCATTGCCTGCCCGGATCCAGGAGATAGTGGTGGAGACGCCCACCTTGGCTGCTGAGCGAGAGAGGTGAGGGCAGGACGGGGAGGTGAGGGCCTGGGGGTGTTGGGTCACTGGAAGCGCTGATGGCCTCTGGGCTATGCAGGAGCCAGGAGTCGCCCAACACACCGGCACCCCCGCTCTCCATGCTGCGCATCAAGTCTGAAAATGGGGAACAGGTCTTCCTACTGATGATGCAGCCTGACAACACCATCGGGGATGTGCGAGCCCTGCTATCGCAGGCCAGGTGGGGTCAGGGCCGGGCTGGGGCCGCAGAGGGGCTCTGGCCCCACTGCCCAGCCTGATCTGCTGTGCCTGGTCCCCAGGGCCATGGATGCCTCTGCCTTTGAGATCTTCAGCACATTCCCGCCCACCCTCTACCAGGACGATGCACTCACGCTGCAGGCTGCAGGTCTTGTGCCCAAAGCAGCACTGCTGCTGCGGTCACGCCGAGACCCGAAGTCCAGCCTGAACTTCAGTTCTGGTCCTTGTCCTGGGCCCGGCCCCAGTCCTGGCCCCAGCCCCCAATAAAGCACCGCCCCTGCTGCTCCGCCAGGCTCTCAGGGGTGGGCCATCGCGCCAGGCATGTAGGAAAGGCCTGGGACCAGCTGGGCCAGGGAGAGGGCGGTGCCGACCCGCCCCTTGGTAACTTGAGCCCCAGCTGGCGGGCTTGGCTGCTGGGTCTTTGTCTTCTAGGTTCCTCTTTCTCCCAAGAAGGGCTAAGCAGATCCTGTGAAGGGAGGGATGCAGTGGAGGGAAGGAGCTGGCCCCAGCTGGGGCAGCAGAGCCTTACTGTGAATGTGTGCAGCCAGCCGATACCTGTGCACAGAAAGGCACAGACCCACTCTTCAACTCGTGGGGACACTTCAACACTGCACAAAGCCATTTTGCCACTGTGGGTGCCCACCTCCCATGACTCATACTTAGCCATTCTGCTCCAACACAGGCAGGCGCATGGGATGGCCACACTCGCTGACAGGCATGCAAATGTGCAGTACACACAAAGCACAGCGTGATGTGGACACCATCACATGCATGTGAACTGGAGGGTGTCCCAGACATCTCCAGAAACCACTGATCCATACAGGTATGTGTGTGCCAGACATATCCAAACACATGCACTAACATGGAGGTGTACTAACATGGAGGTGACAGTCCCATGAGGACAGCTCTACCAACCTTCCCACAGAGCACAGCCTCAGCACAGTCACAACTACCAACCTTACCCAGGGCAGGGACCCAGGAGGCCCAGGCCACAACCAAACAGATACAGTGCCAATGGAACAGGACATTTAATTGTCTCTAGGGTCCTCCTTGGAGAGGGATTGCGGGGCCTTTGGCAGAGCTCTGGCTGATGGAACCAACAGAGGTGCCCATCAGCCAGTGTCAGGCAGGATGGTGGTCCCAAGGCTTGGCTGGGGACAGCCAGCATTTGGGGCTGTTGCTTAAGACAATTTCTAAGACTAGTGGATAAGGAATGTTGCCTTTGAATGGAGAAGGGGGGACTACATTTACAAGGGAGGAGAAGTGGCCTGGGTTGGGGGAAGGACTCTAAGGTCAGGTTAGGAATGACAGGGAGTTGGTCACAAGGTCCTTCATGGCCAGGTGAAGGCTGGGGGGAGTGTGGTGATGGCGTCCAGCAGGGGAACTGTGGGCAGGCTTGACTCAGGCCAGCTTCAGGAACTCTTGCAGCGTGTTTTGTTCCACGGCCTCCACGAAGAGCTCATAGTCCTGGGGAAGGGGAGGCAAGGGGTGGTCACCTGAATGCAGGAGGCCTAAGTGCTTTGTGGCACTTGGGCCTCCTGCATTCAGGTGACCACCTGATCTAACCCTGGCCAGAGTCCTCCTCCAACACTCCCCCCAGCCCCCAGTTCATACCCCACAGTACTGGTCCCCGTTGACAATCTGGGGTGGGGTGGCCTTGGGGTTGCCCGCCAAGGCTCGCATCTCATCCCTCAGGGCGTTGTCCTGGGAGATGTCCACTAGCTGGTATTGGATGCGCTTCCCATCCAGGATCCGGGTTACCTCGCTCTGCTGGGACTTGATCTGGGGACAGAGGGTGGGCAGGAGTTAGTGGATGGGCTGGAGGGTTAACGGGGGGAACTCTGGTCAGGTTGAGAGGCTGTGACCGGGAGCTTTTGTCCCCCCATCCCCCTCCACACAAGGGGTGGGTTCTGGCCTCTAGGAGTTGGGAGGGTGAGTCAGGCTTGAGGTAGTGCAGATGAAGAGAGGGATCATCAACCACGGGGAGGGGGTCAGAGTAAAGGGAAGTGAGATTAGGCTCAGGGTGGGGAGGGCAGGGCAGGATCCCCAGGCCCCGGAAGAGCAGGCTGCAGTTGTGGTCAGGGTCAGGTAGTGGGAGTGCAGAGAATGGGTGTGGGGTTGATGGGGGATGGGCGCGGGCAGTTAATGCTGCGGCTGCAAAGGACCCAGGATGCCCGCCAAGACGCTCAGAATGGGGCCTCGGGACTGGATTCGGGAGACCATGCCCAGCACCTCGCCGGCGCCCCCTACCCACCCCGCCCCTGTCCTGGGGGCGGGTCCGGGGCGCTAGGGTCCGAAACACCAGGACACAGCCCTGCGTTCTTCCCCAGCGCCAGTCCAGGCGCACACTTACTTCGCGGGAGCCGGTGACCGACGTGCTGTAGACGCGCAGGCCGCTCATGCTGGGGATACGCGGACAGGCCGGTGGGCAGAAGGCGGTGGTAGCGGCAGCTGCACTGCCGGTAGACTACGCCGCCGCCGCGCTCGGGAGCGGTTTCCTTCCTGCTCCGCCCGCAAGTCATCACGCTCGGGACCAATGGGTGGCGTGGGCAGGCGGGGCTGGGCCTGCGCGACACCGCCCCGCGCGCCGAAGGCCCCCTCCTTTCCCCCCGGTGACCAGACGTGCAGAGAGACCCGTCCCACGCAGAGCCGCCCCTTCTGCGGCTGCCCTGCTAGTCGTCTTCGGCCCTTCCCTGATCTGGAGCTCAGTGTGTGACTGGGGAGAGGCTGAATGGCAGCACAGGCCTGGAGAGGGTCTGGCAGGGGCCTCCTCTCCAGCCTCACACAGGTTTGGTGCATCCAACTCCCCAGCCCCGAGAGCCGCCGTCTCCAGGAGGAGGTGACTTAATAGTACAATACAGCGTAGCTTGGGGCTTTGGAAGGCTGGAGCTGCTTTCAAACCCAAGTTCCCAAACTAAGGAACCTTGCTCCAAGGGAACCTGCCCCCCACCCCCGCCCCGACTAACCCTGGGGGATAGGAACCAAGGACAGCAGAAAGAGCCTGTGCTTAGAGATTTTCCTTCAAGTTCCTCTCCACTCAGATGAGAAGGTTTACACAAGGAAGGGTGGTGGCAGGACGCTGGGGCCACACCCTCAAGGAACCAGGTGGAGACCAAGGCTGACAGCTGTAAAGTGTGGCAGTAGAAGGTGGTGTCAGGACTCTCGAGAGCCTGGGCTCAAGCTGACCCTTAAGATCCACCTCTGGTCTTGGGTGGTCCAAGCTCAACCCCAGCTCCATGCTGCAGATGGCATTCCCAAACCACTACTACTCCCAGCAAGAATTCAGGGATTGAGGGAGCAGACTGCAGCAACCAGCCCAATTTTGGAGACCTAGCCATCTGTGTGGCATTCAACTTAATGCTTTTTAGGTGTTTCCCTGGTCCAGGGCTCAGGCAGGTAACAGCCCAAAGACAACTCTTAGCTTTGGTAAAGCGACTTACAGAGGCTGCTGACTTCCTGCAAGGACTGCTGAAACTTTCCAGTGACAAACTTTTGCTATGACTCAGGGCAGGTTTGCCCAACAGAAAGTGAGTGGGAAGAGATTTGCTCCTATAGAACGACAGAGGAGCAGATGTGGCAGAGATATGGACATGAGGCTGGACCTGCTAAAGGTTCCTCCTTGCTGCTGCCTGGGGAACCTGGCTGAACAGCTAGACTTTGGCTTTAACAAGCCAAAGTGAGGGGTAGAATAGCATGGTGGTGGTGGTGATGGAAGGCTATGGAAAACTGAGGAGTCTGTTAAGATATTTTATTTTATAATCAAAATAGGCAATACAAACAAGTTGACATAACAAAGATTCATATAAATAACTGGTTAGAAACTTTATGAAGAAAAATATCCGTGAGCATGGTGGCTGGGCTCCCAATGCACAGGGTGGAGACCAACCAGGCGGCTCTGCCTTTAAGAGGCAGGAGCCCAGAGGCTGAAGGGATGGCTGGGTGGGGCTGCTCTGAATGGAAGGGATAAGTCACTCCATAAATAAAATACAAACTTGTAAAAACACTTAAGAAAGAGCCTCATTCAGGCCCAGGCGTGAGGTCCAGGATGCTGCCAACAGCCGAAAGCTTAGCAAAAATCTTGTTGTGGCTGACTCTGGCCCACACATGGCCCCTGCCTGGCCTGGCTCCAGATCTAGAGGAGGCATGGCTGGCCCAACAACCAGATACTAACAAGTGTGAGATGCTCCCTAAACCAGAAGGCAAGAAAAACCAGAGGGCAAAGGGCCCTCCCTAAAGCCCCAGAGAAACAACCCAGAAAACATTGAAAGCTGTACTTTAAAGCTGACTTGTACTGGGTACTCTGAAGTTTCAAGGAGGCCAGAGCAGGAAAGGGAAAGGACTGACCCCCACTGCCCCCAACATGAGAGGCACAAATTAGAGGGCTAGGCACAGGGTGTAACCCTGGGTGAGGGAGTAAGCAGCTTGACAGTTGCCCTTTGGTCTCTGGGTTAGAATTCTGCCCAAGGCTAGAAGCACAGAGAAGACTATGTACTCTTAAGCCCAGGAAGGGGGCTACCTGGAAGGCCTGAGAACAAAGGAGAAAGGGGCTGGGCTAAACACGTGGCCAGGGCCCTAAGGACACAAGGCAGCTGGAGAGTGGTATCTCTTGTTATGGTAGGCAGATTAAAGAGTCCCAGCTGTAATCCCTAGGTCCCCATTCCTAGTAGTTATATGCTAACCAACACATTACCCTGAGGCTTCTGGGAGAACAAGAGCCCTGAGGAATAAAAAGTGAGACCAGGCATCAGAAAACCCAGAAAGCAGCTCAGTTCCCAGGAAGGCTGGCACAGGAGGCCTGAGAATTCTTAAATGGCCATTGTTACTGGTACTCGCTCAGCCTTTTCAGGCCCCTCTGATGAGCTCTGTAATCAGCAGGACCAAGGTATAAAGTGGGAACGAACATGGTTCTACCCATTGGATAGAGAAGAAAAGTGGACAGCTTGTTCATCTCTGATGTCAGCCTAGGACTGGGAACACTTTGTGAAGACTTATCTGTTGTACCTGCCGAAAGTTAATTAGTAACTCACCCTTGAAAGTGAATTAACAGGACAAACATAATCCAACATGCCAGTGTGGGGTAGGACACAGTTCCCTAATCAGCCCTTGGCCCCCAGATGCAGGCTCTCCTATCCCCTCTGATACTTCTCTGGGAATAGCAGACAAGAGAATGTCAGGGCAGAAACCTGCTGGACTAGGCTCTCAGCAGCCCAGATCCTCCCTGGGGGAATCCCCCAGAATTCCTCACTGTGTGACACAATTTTCTCCCATGTCCTGGGCATATCTGTCTGACATGGTGGTCCTTAAGTCCTCAATGTCACGATGCAGCTGTTGGACTTCTTCTAGTTTCTTCTTGATCACATCTGGCTTCTGCAAATCTAGCTGAGTTTCTGGGTGCTGTGTTGCTGGAGAGAAGAGCATTTCAAGAGAATGTTAGCAAGTCAGTTGGGAGACATTTTCATGTGGAGGGGGCAATATGGATAGGCAGTATTTTGAACCCATAGTCTTGGGACATGATCTTAAAAAAAAATCTGGGGATAGTGGGCTGGGAATTTGCTGCTAAAGGCCCACTTTTAGTTTGTGCTGCATGCAAGTACTCCACAGCTTGTTTCCAAAAACAGATTTATGAACACCTACTTTGTGAAACAAATAAATGTCCAGAAGGTGGTGGCCAGGCCTATGCACTCTGTCCCCATATTATCCTAAGAATATGGGAAAGGGGGACAAGGGAGAGAAGAGAAAGAAGGCTCCTTTGTTCTGGGCCCCCAGACTGGTTTGAGGACTCACAGTGAATGCCCAGGAGCAGGGAGAGATTGGGGTCGTGGCCCTGGGCCCTCTGGGTCACAATGCTACAGACAGCCTGCAGATCTTGAAGGCAACTGGCCAACTCCTGGTGTAGCTCAAGTGCCAGCTGGGCCGTGTCTGGTGAAGGTGGAGACCCTGGTTGGGCCTGGCGCAAGTGCTCCTGGAGTGTCAGATTCTTCTCTATCAAGTCCTGGTTTTGCACTGAAAGCTGAGCAGATAGATGGGTAAGCCCATTAACTCAGGCCCAGGGAGAGGAAGAGTATCTGTGCATGAGTGTGTGTGGGTATGGAGAGGATGGGTGAGTCACAGGCAGTGTCCCCCTTCCCCAATCCTATCCCTGCCAACAGGCTTAGCACTTCTCCCACCATCAATATCAGGCCTCGCTCCTCTTGTGGGTAGGTTAGGCACTGGAGAGGAGGCCAACCCTCAGCTGGTTCTGAGTCATCAGCATCCAAGTTTCTGTTCAAGAACCAGAGAAGATGCTCCCGCCCCTAGGAACTCTATCTCAAGCCAGTCCCTCAGCCAACTCTGTTAGCCAGGCTATTAGAGAAGGCTTAATGTGAACCGTGAAATCTGAGGAGACACTGGTTTCAATCTCTCCCTGCCACCCTGACAAAAGTGGCCACCAGCCAGCCTGATCACAGTGTGTCAAAGGAATAAAGAGGGTAAGACAGACAATGTGACAACTAGTAGCCACTGGGTGGGGGCTGGAGAAACTGAGACCTGGAGGATCCAGTACTGGAACGAGTCCTGCCTTTTCAACCTCTCACCTGAGTGGAGTCAGACTTTATTACAAAAACCAGCTATTCATGTATGTCTGCCTGTTTCCCTCTCTTCCTGACAGCTTAATCTACTTTCCTTCCCTTCCTACCTTGATTGTGTTTTTATAGAGTCTGAATAGAGTCCCTCCTTCAGTCCCAGGCCCTCTACCCATACTGGGCCATGTGACAATTCTTACTCAAGGAGGTTCCTTCCTAGGTACTAGGCCAGTCAGTGAACTTGGTTGCCCCCTGCTGACAGCTCTGTTTAGTGCATGAAGGCCACCAAATCCTCAGTCTTTCTTAAACCCTCCACTCAGAAACCTGGGGCTTCAAGCAGACAAAGAGAGAATGATTTTCCATATCAAAATGCGTTACTGGGTAATTATGGACATGCTACAACAAGCTTAGGGTCTGCAATATAAAGGATGATCCAATGCACCTTTCCTTTACCCACAAAGCTCAGCAGGGACCTCTCCCTTTCAAACACTGGGTAGACATGGGAAGGGCATACAAAGAAATAGGGTTTGTGGAGGCAGAACCAAGAGGCCCGACTACTGCTGCTCACCTCCTTCACAGCTGTGCGCAGCTGCTGCAGGGCTGCATCCCTTCGCTGGGCCTCCTCTCTCAGGGCCTGGCTTGTTCCTTCTTCTTGAGCCACTTCCTGCTCTAGGCTCTGAATCACACAGCAAGATGTTGAGGGAACACAGTAGGGGTAACAAGTCTAGTTCAGACAGTATCACCGCTGGCTGGAACTATGTAGTGAAGACTCACTCTACCTACACACTGATGCTAAAAGATTATTTTAGAACAGTCCTGATTTGTGACCTCCCATTAAACCCTCCTATAGCCCTTGACCACATACCAAATAGAGGTCAGCTTCTTAGCAGGGCATACCTACTTTTCTAGCCATATCTCTTTCCATCCTCCACACTGCTAGCCTCTACACCAGCTACAATGAATGACTGGCCCTCATCCCTGAAGGCTGTAGTGTCAATGCCTCTGCTCACTTCTCTTCTTTGCTCAATCTGCTCTTCTGCTCTTTTACCTCCAGGAAACCTCCAAGGTCCATTTGAGCTTTCTTCAATATGCAAATCAGATCCAATTCATCCTAATCCTACCTTGCCACTCATATCCATCATGGCTTATGGTGAATATCCAACATCTGCTTAATATTCTAGTTGACTATGCATATGATCCTTCCCGCCACTCGAACATAACTTTCTTGAGGGCAGGGAATGTGTTATTCAGCTG